TGGTACAGGAGGAGGTCCATGGGAGGGGGTGACACCAACCCTGGTGATGCCATTGGCTATATAATATTTAAAAGGGGCTTATTGGTTTTTAGACGCTTTATTCAATGGAGAGCAGAATCATTCAAACATTTCTTTAGACATGTTGAACTGCCAGTCTGCACCTGAAATTTTGTCACTACCTTAGTTAGGAGCTTGACTGCTAAGCTTTCTCAATAATTTTTTTTCTTTTTTTATTGTAGCCCAAGGTGGTTGTAACAGCATCATTTGGCATTGAACCTGGAAGGAGGGTAGAATATATGCCACTTATGGAAGAAGCACTGAGGATAGGACGACACAAACCAGACAAAGTTCTGATTTATAATCGTCCAAATATGGTAAACTCAATATTGAATGTTGTTCTTGTGTGTTGTAATGTGCTAAAGACGATTCTAGTTTTGACCGTTTGAAAGGGACACTTGATTTATAATATACTTCATAAATGTCATTGTTATTTTGCCACCCTCCCCACAAAACAGATGTTCTTTATACTTGGTGTCTTCATAAAAAACTGGCTTAAAACAAAAAGATTGAAACAGAGAAACACGTGTAATACTAATGAATTGGGGGTTTATGTATAGTGCTATTTTGATGAGTATCATTTATTAGTTTAAGCTGTAGCAATAATAAAATACCAACTGCTTTACCATGTGATTTTTAAGACACTCTGCTATTGGGGAGCTAGGTGATATTATTATTATTCCTATTATACAGAAGAGGATGCCAATGACAGAGAGATAAAGTAAGCTGCCCAAAGTCACACAGCTAGTAAGTACTAGTGTCATGATTTGAAAACATGCACTTGGATCGCACACAATTCCTCTGTTATCCTGCCTCTTGGCGAGATGTGATTCATTTGTACGTAAAATGTCTTTAAAACTTTTAGAGAAGTTATTTAAGCTGCAAATAATACTATGCTCATGGAAATACAATATAAATATTCTAAGGAATAAATTATTCTGTGATCCATGAAGAAGAAGGTAGTATAATACATAAATGAGTACATTTTACAATGTTTTTCCTAATATATTTGACATGATGATCACCTTATTTCTATATCCAAGCAAGCCTGTATCTACTCATGGTGAGATCAACTACAGTTTCTAACAGATTAAAAATTTTTTTTTTGCAGAAAGGAACTTAAAAGAGTACCAAGAATAATGTACAATTTTGTGGAGCTCTTGAGAGGTTATCTGCAGAAAATACTTAAATGACAAAGTATTGAGAAGAGAGAGTATTAAAACTATGTCATTTTGATTACTTCCTAGCAGTTCATATTACCACCTTAAATTCTTATGTAGTTTTAGCAGTCTGTGGTTCATGAACTCCTGCACTCAATGATTTTAATACTCTTACTGTCTCTAAGAAGAATTTTAAGTTTCTTTCAGAAGAC